ATCGTCGTCGTTGACACACCGATATTTTCCTGGTCGATTGATGATGAAAAGTACCCATGTAATGGCACCTCATTACGTGGCATACGCCAGACTGCATACCGGTTGACCGTTGTCAAGAAAATGAGTTTCTACGCTCCAACACAGAGACTCTCAGTCATCTATGATTCCGGACGCGTTATATCAGCTGTCTCGATAAACGTTTTATACAATGGGCCTCCTTTGACATCCGACACGCGATACATGTACTCCATTCAATATTGGTCATCTACTGGTGCGGTCAGTCAATCGCCTTATTCAATCCGAAAAATGAGTTGACGGCGAGTTGGATAGGTTCGCGCCAGATCAATATGAATGAATTAAGACGCGAATTTTATATTCCGCAAGGCGTACTATCCGCTACGGTGTTTATGAGTGGTATGGGTTACGGTATATTACATGTCAACGGTGTAAACGTTGATTCCTCGCGGCGTTTCGATCCCGGATGGACCACATACACGCAACGCGTCCTGTACGTTTCGTACGATATAACTCAGTTTTTGACAGGCCCATCCACGAACTGCATCGGTGTACAATTAGGACTTGGATTTTACACGAACGAACAATGGGGCGGAGGAGTTCCCGCACCACCACCAGAAGTATTTGGTCCACCACCTCGACTGCTCCTACAAGTCAACATTGTACTTAGCGATCATACAACGATGAATATTAGCACCGATACAACATGGCTCGGTCGCGAAGGTCCCCATCGCAAAGATAGTGTGTGAATAGAGCTCAGTATGAGTATGATAGAGAACACAGATACGAAGAGAGGGATGGCGTTCATAGTGACGACGATCGGAAAAAAAGTATTCTCTAACAGTTCAAAATGCTACAAAAGCCGATTTTTGGACCTAACCTTCGAATCCGAAGCCAGGCTTGTGACAAAACGAAACTTAAACAAAAGGCACAGTTTTTATAGCTCTTTCTAACTATGAAATATAAACTATAAAAAAAAGATTTGCAAGATTTCCAGGAAACCTCTCCAAGGTTCCAGATTTTGAAAAGATCAATTTTTCCATCGGCACCATATCTCATTATTTATTATGATATCGCTTTAGCGAATTTCAGTGTTTAAATATAGTTAAGAAAATACGGCAACGTTGCATGAGAAAAGTGTTACCGTTTTGAGTATCATATTTTATATGTTCCCACCAGATTTAAAGACTAAAATTCGCTTAGTTATATCAAAATAAGTAGCAAGATATGCTGGTTACTATAACGTCCACAGATGTAGGGATGAATGAGATCACTAAGACAACAAAGTTTGCCTAGATCTTTAGTCATGTCTTCAAATTTGATGGCATAAAACAAAAGTGACCGTAAATGAGTGAATTCATTGCGAGTAAAACCACGAGAGAGAAACAGCTTGGGCAAACCTGGAGTTTCACATGTTCTGCTAGATGAAGTGAAACGATGCGATCGACGACCGAGGGAAGATGCTGTTGACAGAGTGTGTCGAAATTTTGTCTGGATATGTGCCGCAGATCGAGATGATACGCTCGAACATGTCTCTGAAGTAACGCATCAGAGCGAGAGTTTAGACGATCGAAGGCGCGAAGTAGATGAACGGCGTCGAAATATTCGAAAAGATCAAGTAAGAGCTCGTTGGCTAACATCTCAAACTGCACCATTCTTACTGTTTATCGAGTCTTGTGAATATCTCTCGTTTTATCAAAAGTAAACCTCACTGCTTGTTGTGTTTTATTTTTCTAGTTATTTTGTTATCTCTCTTCTTCACAATTACGTCTTCTCATTCTCTTTTTTGCCTTATCATGATGCTTGGCTAACAACAACTTTTTCTTTCTTCTTATAACACGACGCAAGTATGTGAAATAGAATGTTCTGTATGTTGATACTGAGGTCATATCGGTTACTGTCATAATGCTGTTGATAAGCGGTTAAATCATAATATACTAAAAATGGTGAAGGGTTTGAACAAGCAAGAAAACTAACTAATGAATGTATTCAACGAAGTTATTCCAAAGATGGAAGTAAATGCATTTGTTAAGTGGAACATGCCGTTTTGTGCAGAATTTCGCGGTACATCT